TTAGCACAAAGTCTCTATATCAATAGTATATATATAGCCAAATAAGCGATTGGTCATAATTCAAGTGCAATACATACCCCAGAATCTATAATATGTTATCATTTCACAGGCATGAGTTCCAATATAAAATTGTATAAGCATGCCTTGAATAACTAAGAACCAGGTTAAATAAACTTGTATGCATGTGAGCACAACCCAAGTAAAACGAATTAAATTCAAACCATGTCTCTGTCTAGAGCCGCCCACTTTGTTTTTGATCTCTTTAGCACAAATAATATTGCAACCGACTATCTCAAGTTTTCTTGTATTAGCACTTTAAGCTCCAAAAGGGATAACCAGCTAACCTAGAAATGCGTCAAGCTTAGAGGGCGAAAAACCGTTACCTGGCCGCATCTTGGTTTCAGCCAAGCCTAAAATCTAATCAGCACACGCCTTGTCATCACACCTGTGCCCATCGGCAGACGGTAAAAGGCATATACAAAGGCTACACATATGTATGTGCACAGCCACATAGCCACATACATGTACGCATAGATATGTATCTGTATGTATAGCGATGTCATGTATCTATGTACATGAAGCGACCACATATGAAAACATTTTTACATGGCACATGCCAGAAAAGCAAAACTTTGCCCGCCACACAGGAAAAGTTTATTTTTTTTTGGAAGGAGGGGGGGGGGGGAAGGGAAAACTCAGGGGAAAGGGTGCCAAAAAGTGCCTCAAAATGTGGCCGCTGTGGTAAAAAAGTTGGTGCAGGAGCCACAGGCTGAAGCCTGGCCTGATGTTCCTGCAAAGAGTCATCGATCCATTAAAACCAAAAGTCTGCACCAGAAAACTGTACAAAGGCAGCCGAACCCGAATGCCCAATGCCGAAAGCCGAAGCCGGCTTCAGTCAGGCAAAACGAAAAATGGCCGCAACATGTAGCTGCGGCGGTGAGGGGCATGGACTCAAGGTGGCAGCTGCCGACCGCCAGCGACGCCGTTGACGTGGCAGCTGCCCTCGCCACTGCCAGTACGAGGTTAAGCTGGTGGGGCATGAGCACAGGTAGTCAAGGTTGCTATGGCAATATCTGGGAGAGCGCCACGCATTTGTCCAAGTGTGTGTGTGTGTGTGTGTGTCATATCTATTCGTGTTCGTCTCCGTTGCTTATACGCCATGTTGTGCGCAGCCAAAAGCCAATGCTATAGAGCTTGTGGCCCGACTATAAAAGCCGTTGCCAGGCACTGTTCGTTGCACAGATGCGTTGCCAGGTGGCAGCCACAAGGCCAGCAGCTGCTCAGTGCTGCAGAACTCCCTTGAGCTCCCTGGCAGCGAATCTCAAGTGGCTCCTTGCTTGGATTTTGTTTGTCATGCTTGTTTGCAACCTGCCCTGACTTTACTACGTGTTACATGCAGCTCTGTAGAGGAAGAGGGGCAGTGTGTCTGTATGTGGAAGAAAGGGCGGTTCACTAATGCGGTTAGCAGTAATGACTGCATTTGAAATGCATAAAGGCACTGCAGCACTTAGCATTAAACGGGTGCGGCATGGCATAGTATACACTCGAGGCCTTTTAATATTTCGATTGGTTCTCCACTTAAATTGGGGGCGAACAGAAAATTAAACTTAGTAAATAACAGTCGGTTAGACTTTAACTATAAAATGGCGAAAAATTAGTTATAGGATGAGTTGTTCAACTGAGCATCAAGGATATGGGGTCTTGGATCCGAAGCTTATGTCTAGATTCAAGCTATCGATGTAAGTATAATGATAATATTAAAGGTTTTAATAGTAACAATAAATAAAAATAAGAGTAATAAATAATAATAATAGTAATAATATTGATAACGATTATAATACTGGTAATTATATTGATAAGGACAATGACGAAGACAATGACAATGACAATGACAATGACAATGACAATGACAATGACAATGACAATGACAATGACAATGACAATGACAATGACAATGACAATGACAATGACAATGAAATTGACAATGACAATGACATTGACAATGCCAATAATGATAATGATAATGATAATGATAATGATAATGATAATGATAATGATAATGATAATGATAATGATAATGATAATGATAATGATAATGATAATGATAATGATAATGATAATGATAATGATAATGATAATGATAATGATAATGATAATGATAATGATAATGATAATGATAATGATAATGATAATGATAATGATAATGATAATGATAATGATAATGATAATGATAATGATAATGATAATGATAATGATAATGATAATGATAATGATAATGATAATGATAATGATAATGATAATGATAAATGCACATTTTAGTTGGGTTTTTAATACAGCTTATTGTATATCATTAGCCAGATCACATGTTACATGTTAACCATATTTTTACATGTCTTGCTACCCAATTTTGTTGAGTGTACGCGACGGCGCTTGCGCCTTGTAGCTCGCTGAAAAAAAACATGGCTGCGCTCAGCACCAGGACCCACGCACACATTCACACACACAAATATACGGACGGAGACAGACAAAGCACATTTCCCCTTAACAAATGAGCAAGCACTGAGATACACACATACACACACACTGTCACCCACACATGTCTGTTCGGTTGCTCACAGTTGTGCAAACGATTTTCAACACATTTACAATTATTGTAAATGTGTGCAAAATTTCAAACATTATGCACGTTTGTGTGTGTGCGAAAGCGTGGGAGTCAATCTGCCAAAGAGAGAATACACGCCTTTGTGTGTGTGCGTGTGTGTGAGTGTGTGTGGGTGTGTGCAAAGTGAACATTCGATTTTACCGGTTGCTGCTTTTTGCCGGTCTTTTGCTACCAAACATCAGAGTTTGGGAGCTTGGGAGTCCTCTGAGTGCTGCTGTTGCTGCTGCTGTTTTGGGCACTTTATGCGTTTGGGGAGCCGGCGACGGTGGCGGTGACAGAGACGGGGTCGTTGTCGTTGCCGTAGCCCGGACCCGGACCCGCAACCGGAGCTCTCCCTTGTGTGTGGCGCTGTTGAGTGCCGCCGCCATATTTGATGTTTGCCTGTTGGCCTGTTGTTATTTTCGATTTGTCGTTAAGGAACAGCAACAACAACAACATCAGCATTGAAACTTGGCCAACTGCTGTTTGTTGTCTTGCCTACAGTTCACTGCACGTTTTCCCAAGCGTATGACATCCATCTATCTATCCACCTTTTGACCAGGTATAGGCCAACCCCTCCAACACGTAGGCAACGTACCTACTACGTGCTACGTTGCGCTTTTATTGATACGGACATTATAACTTTAACATGAAGTTTGGCATGAGCAATATTTTAAGATATTTAATGGTACTGTAACTAGGTTTATTTTTGAATACTCCTTGAGGGCTTCTTTAAGTTTGCAAGGCCTAAAAAATTGCAAAGCTCGAGTTAAAACAAGCAACCACTTTAACATGCTTTGTAGCTATGTTCTGTTCCGCATGTTAAATATAACATGTAAATTAAAAATTCAACAGCTGGTAATAGGAATGTTGATCCAAATTGAGTATCTTTGGTTAATTATTGATTTGCATTGGCTGGTCGAGTAACTTCTCATTGGCATGGGTAATAAAATGGAAATATAAGTTAACTTTATGTTAAATTGAAGTGAACACAATTGAATGTAAAATGAGCTAGTTTTCGATTCTATATATATGTATTTATGTATCTATAGGGTATATTTAAGAGGCAGTCGTGTGCTTTGTTTTTTTTTTTTACTGCTGCTCCTTCTTCCGCCAGCCATTGTTGTTGGGTTGTTATACTAATAGCCAGCCAGACGCCATTGGAAAACGCCAACGCGATGGCGGCCATCGCGCGAAATGTTTTCGCGTTGGCGTGGCCAGGCAACAGAGCACAGACGCACACACACAGAGAGACAGACACAAAGGGACAAAGACAAAATGAAAATTTCACATATAACAGCAACAACAGCAAAAACGACAACTGCAAATTTTCGACTCGCTGCTAAATGAAATGAAATCAACATGGCTGCCCGGGATACAAAACCGAATCCGTGTCCGGGTCTGGGCCGTGGCCATGGCCGGTGTGGGGCCGGGCTCTGGGCTTGGCTCCAAAAAGAAAACCTGAACTGCAACGTTGGCAATTTTTGCGGGCTACGCTTTCATTTGCTTTTTCGTTACGTTTCGTTTCGTTTCGCTTCCATTTTGCCTTTTTGCTATTATTGGTGTGGCATGCCCCATGCCATTGCCCCCACATTAATGGCGTACAACAACAAGAACAACAAAATAAAAGAAAAAGCTTTCACCAAAAGGCGTTTGTAATGCGCTATCGGGCTCATTAGGCCGCACCGAAATTTAATTGAGCTAATTTCATTTTTTTTTTTTTGTTTTTCGTGTGTTTTAACATGAAAATTGAAATTAAAGAGGTAAAAAACTGAAAAATGTAAAATTTGCATTTATTTTGTATTTTGCTTGCATAGTTTCTCGCTTGTTGCGTCTACATACCTTTTAATTCAATTAAATTATTTTTGCAACGTGTTTTGGAAAGGCAATTAATATAATTGAAATTGTTGAATTTCCACCAAATGCTTTCAGAAAAAACTTTTTCCACAGCCCTGTTGTTGTTGTTGTTGTTGTTGTCATTGTTGTTGTTGTTGCTTTGCCCCTTTGTTAGTTTTCATTTTCACACAACAGCTGCATTTTGTGTTTGTGTTGGCTGCCTTTGGCATGCTGCGAAAACTTTGCCAATGTAATTTTGTAATACTTCTTTAGCCCGTCAAATTGATTGGAAAATATGTGCACAAATCGTTACGAGCTTAGTTGTGAAAACAATAATACAATTAAAACTTGACTTGGTTACAAAATTTATTTCACCTTAAAAGCTTTAATTTTGTGAATTCTAAAAATTGAGTTTAGAAACGTCAACTTTGAATCTGAAAAGAGCTTCGAATGTTTTTTTGTGAAAGAACAGAAGGAAACACTTGCCCTTGCCAAAAATTAAATACTTTTATTTTTATTTCAGATTCGAATAAAAGGGAGCAGAGAGTGCCAATAAATAGATACCTTGGTAAGCACATTTTTCTTCTATGTTATGATATCGTTAACTTTTCTCTACTTTATAACTTTTATTATTATACTGAGCATTTCGTTCGCTTATATTTTACATAAATCATTATTTATGATATTTCCGCAGCTAAAGTAGTCAGATTTTTGCTAAATTTTATCAAGCGGGCAATGTCTACAGGGTTATTTTTATCTTCTTAACAACACGCTTATTTGAAAATAAAATGTATGACTTGTCAGAATCAAAGGATATTAACAAGTATTTACAAATATTCACAACTTACTTGATTTCTTAAAATATATATGCCTTTAACATGCTTTATTCCAGAATATTTATGTGCATTTGTTCAAACTTTAAGTCGCGTCAGTATTATTTTTGCTTTCTTAAAAAATATATATATATATGTATATAATAAATTTAGTGTGAACTTTTGCCCACATGCCACATGTGGTATGGAGACGCTGACAACACTTTAATTTATAGCGCAGCGACGAATTTTCCATGCCCTTCTCATAGTTTTTTTTATATTTTATTTTGGAAGCGGGGATGTTGGCGTTGCCACCATTTTCGAAGCATTTTGTGCGCTCCGAAAACCACTTTTCATGCACATCAGTTGCAGCTGTTACAACAGCAGCCGACAGACGGGGGCAATTGCAATGCTCGATGGGAAAAGGCGTCGAGAAAATCTCCGGCAACAACAAACAAAACGCCATTTTTCGAGAACCCAAAATTTGATAGAAATTTTTGCTATGTTTTACGTCCGGGGACTGGGACAGATGGCAATGAGCAGAAATAAGAAGAATAGAAGAAGCAGCTTGGGCAAAGCTTGTTATCATTCGGTGTCCACATCTGTCACCTTCTATAAATCAGCACATGCTCCTTGTGCATATAGTTACATACTTACAGTCTTACTTATAAGTCTATGTACGTTCGTGCTGTGCCATTTTGTCGCTGTCTTTGGTCTACCTCATTTTGTTGTTTTTGTTGTAATGCAACTAATTCCCTTAATGGAAAATTGCACAAGCATGTTAAGAAAAAACTGTAACAGCATCAAGAAGAAGCTGAAGAAGAAGAAGAAGAACACGAGGGAAAAACCAAGCAACTAGCTCGTGACGTTGCTTAAATACCCTGACACATCCATTTGCGGTATTTTACACTGGCTCAGAGTCTGTGTGAAACTATTTAAACGAGGCTTGTGCGTGTCTTGTGCTCGTATTGGTGAAGTTTTTCAGAAGCAATATAAGTTTCAGATGTGACATAAAACCTATTGATAGTCGATCACAAGATCTTCCCTCTCTGTCTCTCTTTTCGTTCCATTTCGTAAAACTTTACTGAGTTAGATTCTCTTCTAACTTTGAAATTTTATTTGTAAATTGTTTAAGTAAGTTAATTGCAGCTGGGCACTCAGTTTCTTAAACTGTGGCAACTCTGTACAATATAAAACTAATTTACTGTGACTTCAAACTGAGGTCCTTTTGGAAAATCAAATTAATTTCCTCTGGGAACGCTTTTATATGTTCAAACAGGAACTAGTTTTTTCTTGTCGTCTTATCATTTATCATTCGAAGCTGTGATAGATTTGTTACGTTATTTTTCTCTGGGGACTGTAGAATGAGCCTAGACTTATGTGGGTAACTCTGGCAATACTATTTAAAGCTTTTAAAATGTGGTAACTCTGTAGTATTATTTTTTCTTACACACTTATCATATGTACATGTAAAAAACTCTAAATATTTGTTTCATCATATAATAATTGATATCCGTAAAAGTCCTATAACAGAAATATATATCATTATTTTTCTTAGTCATTAATAGCTTGATTACTTACAAGTCTGGCAACCCTGGCAGGTAACTTTAGCTAATGAGCCTCATTTTTAATATTGTTGTATATTAGATTTTCTACTTCCAATACTTTTAGAACTTTTTAAACAACCCTCGCTGTTGTGGCCATATCTGTGTTGCTCCTACGCATAAAATATTAGTTGCCGCATTGCAATTGTTCTTGTTCCGTGTTGCGGGCGTTGCATTGTCTCAATTGTATGTATGTCCTCTTGTCCTGCGTTCGCCTCCCTCTCAGTCCATTTGTCTCTCTCTCTCTCTCTTTCTCCTGTATCTCTCTCTAGCTCTGTTTCTCTGCCAGCCTACATTTTTTGCCATTGTAATGCAGCAGCCCCTTGGCATCTGTGGCAGCCCTCCTCACCACCACCCAGCTGCCTGGCAGGCCGTCTGTTGTTCGTGCTGTCGCATTATTCTTCCGCATTTGCTGCCACTTTTCTTTATCACACACCAAACACTGGCCTGGTTTGGCCTAACCCCGACACTGTGCCGCTTGCCCCGTGGCCCGTGCCCCATCGCCTTTATACAGCATCGAATTCAATATCTCGTGTTACATTTCATTGCATGCACAGATTTATTACAGCGAAAACGGAAAATGGGAAAAACTCTCTGCTTGCCGCTTGTTCATGTTCATCACTTTCGGGCACATTTAGCTGAACACTCGGGGATTTATGTCCGTGTATATGCTTAATGCTATCTAAGTCTTCTTTTGCGCTTTCACCATCTCCCGCTTATCACTCAAATAGATTGCGTACGCACTTGCCTCGGCGGCTTTGCCGTTTTGTACATTAAATTGAGCATAAATTTGCTCTTCAATTCCTTTTTATGTTCCTTAATCTTATCTTCGAGGATAAGTCAAGAGCCAAGCAGCTTTTTGACATCATTCATATAGCAATTCTTACATATTCATATAATTACTTCCTACATAGAGAATAGATAAAAAGATCTTGTAGCTAAACAGTTATAGTAGTAAATAGAAAAACATTTAAGAATGCCACACAAAGCGGAATTAGAAAACTTATACTCTCTCGAGAGAGCAAGCACTTGATAATGAGGCAAACTAAAAAAGGCTCCTCAGTAAAATCAGTATGAAGTAAATCCGATTTTACATTCTTTTCTGTAAAACATTTGCGAATATTGCACAAAGCAGAACCGAGGATGGGAATGTGAAATATGTGTTAAAAAGAAATGTAACATTATAATTCAAAAATGCCAAAGGCAAAGTCCGTGTTTCACTATTCTGTCAGCGCAGTAAAAGAAGAGCACACGCGCATTTCGTATTATTTTGAGCCTTTCAAGTTCAATGTTGATATAGATAAACAAGTGAAAATTACTGCATTTAATATTATCACTTTTAATATTCTTATACTTATCTTAATCTCTATATACATTCCCTCATTCATAATCAAATTCAAATAATTTCAAGGGCAAAAACCTTATCCGAACACAAATCATATTTGATAATTGTTCTCGAAAACCTATTTTGCTAGACGATTAATTAATCGCTCAATATGAAGAAATCAATTATGCTTTTAACACTAATTATTTATTACGCAAGGATAATAATCATCCTTTTGTATGATGATTATCGTATTTAACCATGTTCAACTCTATCAGGCGAATAATTAGAAGCATATACAGGGCAGAGATGCATACTTTTTGCAGGCAGTATGCTACAATGGCCGCACTTTGATGTCCTGCAACTGGCAGCCGCTCAAAATGCAATATCCTATTGCCAGCTGAATGTGTATGCGCACACGTATGTGTGAGTGTGTGTGTGTTTGTGTAAGATTTATATATTTTCAATTTCCGCTTTTATGAGTGCAATGCGAACATTTTCATGCATGAGCAAATCGAATGACCTCGCCAGAATAGCGGCCACATTCATAAACGGCAATAGCTATATAAACTGCAGCATGTGCCTGAATATAGCCATATTCAGTGCATATATCTATATATACACATATACATATATATATGCACATATAGCTAGGCAAACACAGCTGCACATATGCTTGACTCCCCACTTCGGGGCTTGGGGCTGGGTCTCAACCAAAGCGCTAAAAAAGTATGCTGAAAGGCAGCCCAAACCACATGCAAATGCATTGAACTGCTTATGCAAATGCCAATCAAAATGTTGTTGCTGCCTGACAGTAACCACACGCACGCACACACTCACACACACACATACAGCCGGACAGATACACATAAATATGCAAAGGATGTGGCAGCCACAAGTACTTCAGCAATAGAGAGAGAGAGAGAGAGAGAGGGAGAGAGTTGGGAAAGAAATTTGCATAAGAAGAAGGCAAACATTGTGGCAATTGCTTCGCTCATCGCATGCCCACAAGGATTTGCCCAGTAATCTGCATTGAACTGTTATTAAGTTTTGCGCTTATTGCTGCCAAAATCCTAACCGAGTCACCCTGTGTGTGTCAGGTTGTGTGTGTGTGTAACAAGCAATGCCTGTGACTGTGCCTTGAGGCGCTTCAAGGAAAAATAAAAAGAAAAGAAAACCCAAAGCCCCACGCGGTATATTTTATGCATATGCGAAATGAAACGCATACGCCCCAATGTCCCATGTGTGTTTATATGTGTGTGTACATAAAGATATAAGTGTGTGTGTGTGTGTGAGCTAGTCGGCCAAGGTGCGGGGCGCAGTGGGCTGCCCTGCTCGCGCAACTGCCTTCATTTTCATGCAAACAAATTTGCATGCCAAAGCGGACCCATGCCCTGGGCGCTGTGAGAAGCGCGTAGAAAAGCGCAAAAAAAAAGAACGATACAGAAGTGAACAAATTGCATGGGTGCGCGCACACACACACACGCACACACACTCATATCTTTATCTACGTACATCTATGTGCATGTAGTGTTGGGCTAAACTAAAGCTGCCCTCCGGGCTCACCCACGCTTTCGCACGCGTCTCGGCTCATGTGTCGCAATGAAATCCCAGCACTTCTAACAAAGTGCACGAACATTCTATTTTACATTTAATATACCCCGCAAACGTGCTACAAGCAGTTGTTACGCGTGATGAGTCAATATTTTATATATCCATGCAATCGATGTAATTTTCGGTATTTCCAGAACTTTTCAAAGTGGACTGATTATATGTGCCTGGTGAGAAGCTCAAACAGGTGAATTACTTCCTTAATAGGGCAGTAAAT